CAACGGGCCCCGCGAGATACGATCATTAATGCGCTGTCGATACTTTAGTGTTATCTCAGTTAAGTGAAGATTTAATCACGTTTTAATGTAGACTTCATAAACATGATGACTAGAGAGTAATATTGCGATGAGAAAACACGACGTGTTGAAGGGATGGGCGAAATGAAGACCCTCTGATGAAACCGGGATTTTGACGGCTTGGAATAATGCGAGATAGGATGTTTTCCCGCGGGAAACGGTGCCTGCTGCAACTCGAGTCCTGAATGTCAGGCGGCGATCGAAGCCCTAACTTACCTCGTGGAAAATGGATCTCGAAATGTACGCACGCAGATAAGCACTCCAGGGTATTACTATTCTCATTATCAAGGACGAACTTATATTACTGCCCGCGAATAACAAGTATCCTATTGAACGATATTACAAGCTTTCTGCCAAGGAAGAGATATAGCGCGAAACTTAAAAAAATTCGATAATTTAATATAATCGTTAGAAACTGGATAACTAATTACTTGCGAAAAAATATGCAAAAGAAATCAAAGTGATAAATTCAAAAGTTCGCGAGTTCCAAACGTCGCGGTATACGATATCACGAATGCAGAAGCATCTTTTATACAGCCATCGTAAAAAAGATGAAGTTTTGTCAGTTCGACAATATCTCTGTCATCTCTCGTGTATCATATATGCAAACCCGGCTAGAAATATCTACCACTTTTTACGGTGGTTACATAAAAAGCGGATTTTTCCCCGGGTACATCTGTACCCTATATACCCTGTATGCAACGTGCGTACTAATCCAAAGGAAATGAATACTGGAGACCGATATCATGCTGCGTATTGATGAACGCCCGCGGAATTCACCGTGCGGGGGATTCGCTCCGTGCCATGAATCTCCCTATTCACGGGGGCCAGTCATTTTCCCCGTTGGCGCGAGATTTTTCCCACGCGGCGAGGAAAGCAAACAGTTCTCCGGGAGCCACGACGGAAATATGATTCCCGCGACGTCTCGTAAAAACGACTTGGCTTCATTTCGCTGGATTATGCGGCACCCCTTTCGTCTGATTTACCGCCAAGGCCAAGGGGAGGTACAGCGACGGAGAAGTCGAGTCGACGGAAAAAAGGAGATGGTGCATAAGGGAAGAGTAGGACAGAGGTGATGAGAAGACAAAAAGAGGTATACGAAACGATGAACGAAGAAAAAAGAAAGAATGAGAGAGAGAGAGAGAGAGAGAGAGAGAGAGAGAGAGAGAGGGTAAGG